ATATATATATATATATATATATAAAATAGAGAAAGAACGCTAGTGAGATTGAATTAGGGCATCACAAGTAAGCTTTAAATTCATTTAAATAACCTGTCAAGAGATTGCATTCATGATAGATGTGTGTACATATATATATATATATATAAATTAGACATGAGTCTAGTTTTTGCTGGTGTCTGTCGAAGTGACAGGAGTACTGGTTTGCACTCACTGTGACAGAAGCTTTTGCTCTGACAACTAAAGCAACATCTGAAAGTCTGTGTTTGTAGCTTTAAAAGGGTTAGGGTATGTTTTGAAGCATTTGTAATGACCTTTAATAAATTATTGTGCAACACAACTCAGCGCTCAAACTGCATATTTACAAAAGTGAAACACAAATGAAAAGTTCTTTTTCAAAGCAATGATAAGCAGCAAAAATAATGTGAAATATAATATAAGATAAGGGAAGCAGTATTAAATATTTTCAAGACGTCTTAGCAGGAAAATCTTACAATACTACCAAGGGCAAGAAAACTATGATCCTCCTGGTAAATAGCTTCTGTGGAGCCACAATCATTCAAAGACATCTACTTTGTCTAATATTACACTGAATATGGGCACTGTATCACACTTACAGGGTCACTCTGCCTTTCTAAGAATAGCTCCAACCTGAAGTTCTTACCATCTCAGGTGTAGGCATATTTTCTCACCTTGACATACTACACAGAAATGTAAAGACACCTACGACAACTGTCAACACAGATACCAAGTACCTGCGCTGGCAGAATGACTCGGCAATCAAAGTGTGCCTGCCTCAAGCCAAGTTATTCATACTGCTACATATCACAGTTTTTCATTGCGCTGTGCTCTGCGCTACACGAACTCTTAAAGATAAACTTGGTGGCGGTTGGTGTCATAAGAATCCTAACAGCGTGAGGAGTCCAAAGATGTGCTCGCTGAGATCTTCAAACTCCAGTTTCACTTCTTTTGCCGGGACATTCAAAGTCACCTGAAAAGCTGCTATGTTGTGACCCATTTATGTCCACAGAAGACAGTCAACACTCGCTCCTCTGTCGAATGATAAAAACATTTGTGAGCGATCAGATGCATCTTTGAATTTGCCTCCAGAACTGTACATATAAGACACCATAACTTTGATCTTCTAGCTGTGTGGAACAACAGCTGGAAGGATCTCCGAAACTGTCCTCAATCTCCATCAAGTTGATGACACACCCACGGTTTTCCCTCAATTTTAGTCGCTTTTCAGAACCTCAAATTACCTTTTGCTGCATTTCCAAACTCCATTTATCAGCTGCTGTTTGAGGTGACGGCTACTGCTTTTTCGTATTTATTAATTTGCGGCACATTCATGTTTAATGCTTTTCATTCATCAACTGCATTTATTATTCATGCGAAATTAGCATCTTTGTGGCGTTATTGTTGCGTCTGTGTTTGTTGTTGTTATAAATAAATGTTTCATATTTTCATCAGGTGCATCAGGTTCATGTTTTCTTAAAAATACTTTCAGTTAATTTATTTATTATGTCTTCTAAGCTCACTTCCTGTCTTTAAATGGGTATGCCTTGGGGAAACAGACACACTCTCTACTTTTAAGATTACATTTAAAATTTTTCTTTTTGATAAAGCTTATAATGATTGTTAGATCAGGTGACCCTGAATCCTCTCTTAGTTACGCTGCAATAAGCTGCCGGGAGCTTGAATATTTCATATTCACTCACTGTGTTTATATACCACTCTGTGTTTAATCGTTAGTTATTATTAATCTCTGGCTCTCTTACACAGCGTGTCTGTTCTCCATCCCCTCATCCCCAACCTGTTGCGGCAGATGGCCGCCCTTCCCTGTTCCTGGTTCTGCCGAAGGTTTCTTGCTGTTAAAAGGGAATTTTTCCTCCCCATTGTCACCAAGCGCTTGCTCCTTTGAGGCCATTTAATTGTTGGGGTTTTCTCTGTGTTATTTTAGAGTCTTTACCTCATAATACAAAGCACCTTGAGGCAACTGTTGCTGTGATTTGGCGCTATACAAATAAAATTGAATTGAACTGAGTTGAATTATGTTAAACCACGATCAAGCCTCAACGTCTGGCTGTGTTCACATAAGCTTTATTGTTGTGCAACAGTGGGACAACAATACCACTGTGCTATATTGGAAAATATACAGTTTTTGTTTGCCAACATGTACATTCAGAGTACTGTTAAAAACACATAACACAAGCAAAAAGATGCTTCAAGAGAGAAAAAAATGCACGTTTGGATTAGAGACACGGTTTGAGGAATATCGGGGTGTTGGACGCTTAAACTGAATGAAATGATGAATTAGATATTTAGTATGCATGTAGGGGTTAACAAATCAAGCACCATGAGAAAATGAAGAGGGAGAAATAGAGTCGAAAAAAAGAGCTGGAGTGAAATGGGGTGACGTGCCTCTAGGGTTTTTTTCTATGTCATGTGCTGTGCTCAAACGACTATGAAAGTCCCCCACTTCCATACTGAATTGCCTTCTGCCTCACATGTGCTCATCAATAGGGCTGACGTGGAGTCATGGTGACAAGGTTTGCTACTTATGGGACCTGTCTGAATGCAGTGGAGAAGGCTTTACTTTTACTGTCATGCCACAGCGCTCTCGACAAGCACCGGTTACTGACTACAATGTGCGAATGCAAAATACTTGTCTTTATCCACAACAATAAAGGTCATTTGATTTGTTGTGTAATTCCATTAAGATGCTTGATAAAAGCAAACTTTTCAGCTTTTAACTTTTATTAACTCACTCTAATTACTAGATGGCATGGCAGCAAATGGACCGAGTGCCCAACATGAGTACTTTCAGAATAAATACATGCTGGAAATGAAAAGGTCCTCAAGTCCCACTTTATTTTCAGTACACAGTGCTGATGTCCCTGGAAGTGTAGCAGAAGGTTCTGAATATTCAGTAAACACTGGTCTAGGAAACATTTAAGTGAGAATTAAAAATGGCAAGCCACCTGCTCTTTTCATTATGGCAACTGTTGATTCAGACACAGGCTCTGGAAGTGATTTGCCATGTGACAGATTCACTCCTACCTAAACCCTGTTAAACACTGATCATCACTTGGCAGTCTACGAGCCAAGAAGTGAATACAAAGGCACACAAATACAAATCCATGCTTCTTTTGTACTCTCTGTCCCAGATATTTCTCTCAACAGCATACGCGACACCAAACAGAGGCAAATGTTTTCACACATGGAAACATGCAAAAGAGCCCGAAACTTTGTTCTGTAGTGCAATATGGTCTGGAGAGCAGGATAGTGTGACACGAGCAGAAAAGTGCCAGCTTTGACTAAAGATTCCTTCTGGGCCGCTGAAAGCTTAACATACTCTGCAGCCTTAAAAACTAGTGGGCATTCTGTGCTGTGGTAAGAGCAGAAGGCTTGTTGATATATTATTGTGAAACCACATATTGTCACAAGAAGGCACAAGATAAAGAACATTTAAAAGAGTTGGTCAAAATCCTCTTTGGTTGAATCTAAATTCAAGGAAAAATGTTACAAAGGTTATTTCTTTTCTCCTTTTTTGTATTTTTTAAGACGTTGGACATCTAAATAGCTTTTTAGCATATTTTAATTTTCCAGAATGTTAGGTCATAGGCCAAAACAAAAGGGTTTTCTCATTTTAAACTATGTCTACTCCTGCTTTGGTTCAGTTGTACTGCTATCATGCTACATGCTGCCAAAAGACATTCTTGTAGCTACCATTTAACAGTTTAACAGTCTGTTAATTGTGCAAAACAATTACTAAGTCTATCTAACACTGGATATTGGAGTTCAGAAAACATTCCTCCGAGACTTTAGTGTATAGTAGTAAAATGAGAACATTACATAAGCGATGGACATGTTCAGCAGCATTACTCAAGTAGACCGTGGTGTCTAAATGACGACTTTAGGCCTTTGATACTAAAAGTCTGCAAAGAAAATATCTCCAGCACCACCAGCCTGAGCTGCTGACTCTCTCGTTGATCATCTGAATGCTGCAGCAGAAATCAAGACTCATCAGATGAGGCAACATTTTTCCAGTCTTCCATTGTCCAGTTTGGTGAGCCTGTGTGTAGCCTCAACTTACTGTTCTTAGCTGGAGTGGCAGCCAGTGTGGCCTTGTGCTGCTGTAGCACATCTTTTTCAAGGTTCAATGTGTATTTCAGAGATGCTCTTCTGAATACCTTGGTTGTAGCGACTGGTTATTTTGTTACTTTTGCCTTCCTATCAACTCAGAGCAGTCCGATTATTCTCCTCCAACCTCTGGCATCAACAAAGCATTTTCACTCAGAGACTTGCTGCTCCTTAGATATTTTCTGGGGGAGCAGCAGTAAATATCTTATAGATCATTCTCTATAAACCCTAGAGATGGTTGTGTGGGAAAATCCCAGTAGATCAGCAGTTTCTGAAATACTCAGACCCTCTCGCCTGACACCAACAACCATGCGACATTTAAAGGCATTGAAATCACCTTCTGCAAATCGCTCTCTGATGCTCCGTTTCAACTTCAAAGCTTGTCTTGACCTTGCCTAAACATACTGAGCTGCTACCATGGAACTAGCTGATCAGATATTGACATTAACAAGCAGCTGGACAATAAAATGAACTGAATAAAGTTGAATAATACATAATATAGTGGTTAGTGAGTGTATGTGGCAATGTTATCTGGTCAGTTTTCATGGATGTACACACTTATTATGCATATAACATATAAAATAAAGTTTAAGTATAGAGATTATACTTATAAAAACCTTGTGCTTTTCACTAATATAACGTGGCTGTGTGTGATGGTGCATGACACTTTATGAAGGCTTCAGAAAAAGATTTCACTGTTATAACTCTAAAATTTAGCTTCATTTCTTCAGCTAAGCAGCAATGGATGGAAGCCCAGTGTGTGTTAGTGAAACCAACAATAATTATTCCAAAGGTTTGCTAGCTAACAGCAGCAGCAATTACAATGACAACAGGCTGCCTTAATGAATCAGTGAGTCTTGAGCCTAAGTTTATTCTCACTTCTTATTAGAGACAGATGAAATGAAGAAGAACATTATGCATTACCTGGAGTGCTGCTAGCATTTTGAAATACCTCCCACTTCATTTGCTGTACACACACATGCACAACATACACACGTATTGCTTTTCACTTCCATCTTCCCCCGGCGCAGCGCTGATTGATTAGATATTGAAAATGGTCTGTCAGCGTGTTTTAGAGAGGTACTCATCTGATAATGAATGCAACACCTCGGTTGGGAGCTAATTATATTAGAGACACAACTTGGTTCTGCTGTCTTGCTCTCTCAGTGTTGGTCCCTTTGGGAGACAAAGTCATGCAGAAACACACCCTGCTGCTTCGGCAAGGCTCATCAATGCCCACAGTAAAGATTTCCATCGGCCATGCCGGCTTATTCACAATTTGCTCCTCCGCCAGAAACCGTGACACAGTCAGAGACACATTTAGTCTGATACAAAGTACGTGTATAATGGCAAAAATTAAACTAAGCAGACACAAACTGAGTTGCAAAGCTACCTGATCTGCAACAGCACGGGCCAATTTGTCCATCCTGGAACCAGCCTCTGCAATTTTCTTAGCCGCGTTGATCACATCTGAGGAGTTCTTCAGGGGGCCTTTGCCTCTGGGAAAATTCAAGGAGAGAAGAAGGAAAAAAGGGATGGTGGGTGGAGTTGCAGAGGCAGGAGGCATGCAGAGCTTCCCTTTAAAGACTGCGCTCATCCCAGTGCTGCACAGGCATGTAGGGAAGCTAATTTGCTGTTTATGGCATTAAAAATATGACACAATACAATAACAAAGATTTTCCCAGATAATGGATGAAACAAATACAGTCTACCTGTATCCCTAATGATCCATCTTGGAGACATGCTTTGAAGCACTCTCCAAGAAGGAAACAATTTATGCTTTAAAAGCAAAACATGAAAATTTTCAGAGAAGTTACGGTAAAAGGGAAAAAATACAGGAGAGGAAACCAGATCGTTTGTGATCTAAGTTGGGTTTTTTTCTTTCTTTTTTGCAACAAAGGGGAGAGTTAATGTGGATAAGAGAACTGGGCCTGCCTCTCACTGATGTTTCACTTTTAGTCACTGGAAGTTGAAAGTTCCGTTCAGTTTGTTCATGCCAGCGTGAGTCAACGGGGTCACTGCCAAGTAATAACGGTGCAGTCACAGCACCACAGTCACAAACACTCATGACTAATCATGGTTCTGATTTTCACCAGCTGCTATGGTGTGGTGTATTGTTTTCACCTTGTGAGTGTTTGTGCGCGTGAGTAAGTGTCATCGTGGCAAAATGTGGTCCTGAGGACACCTACAGATCACGAACTACAGGTGGCTTAAATACTGTGGCAGGGTTAATGTGTCTGACTGCTGGCTTTAAAAAAAGCAGGAGTCAACATATAGCCCGTCTCTGAACCATGACAACCATTACAGTCTGATCATAACAAAGTGCTTTTTTTTGCCTTCAACCAAACAGAATATAGTTTGCTTTTCAAACAATCTCTAGCTGCATAATTTTCACATTTAAAATAAAAATGTCCACTGTGTGTCACTCTTACCTGGTGAAATCTGTCATCTCCATCATGATCATGCACATCTGCTTGGCGAGCACAATGATGTCGTTGCCATTGTCGTCCCACTTGGCAACTTCTGCGTCTAACTTGCACTTTTCCTGTCTGAAGCTCTCCACCTGCTCAGCAATCTTTGCCTTCTCCTCCTGGGGAAGCTGTGCCATGATGGCCTGCAGGCAACACGGGAGTATGAAGGAAGCAAAAAGCATTAGAGGAGGAGGAAGATATTATGAAAGGGTACATTTGAGCTGAATAAATTGGGAAGATGGCTCATGAGGGAAAAAACAGTGGAGAAAATAAAGGAGAGAGTTAAAGTTGGGGAGGAGAGAATGAGAAGGAAATGAGAAAGAAAGAGGGATTATGCTAAGAGAAACAGCAGAGAGGGCATTTATAAAAGAGCTGTTGCACCATTTGTTCATTTTTTCCCTTCTGGTACACTTTTTTATCCACTCAACAAAAACTTGGACAAAAGTTGAACATTAAATCTGGGGTCTGACGACTTGCTCCTCTAAAACACTTCAAAATAAAGTTCTAAACTTTATATTTAATGACTGGAACTTTTCAAACCACTTGACATCTTATATCCATAAAAAGCAAATCCATTTTTTTTTATTCGCCTTCATTTTTTTTTCTCCTTCCATGAGAATACATTTGCTCTCTCAGCGGCCTTTGGGGGCAGGTCCAAAATGGCATAAATCTTGTGGCAAGGTCACAGGCGCAGTAAGGACCCAGTATTATTTGGGAGATAAATGTATAATTACCTCGCTTCTTAGACCAGAGAATGAATAATGCATTTGTTCAACATTATGTCAGGGAGGTGAGATGGAAGGAAGAGTAACCTGGTTTCCATTAGGTCGATTCTATTGACTCGAGAGGGTGAGAGAGAAAACGAGTACAGTGAAAAAAGGAAAGTCACCATTGTTTTTTAACCTCATCTATTATTGACTGCCCTCCAAGAATTGCCATTCTCTTAATGAAATAATCACCCTACTCCTCCCTTTCCCTCTCTCACAGCAAAGTTGGTGTGTGGGGGTGTGGGGCGAGCTTGATGAGCGAGTGCGTCACTTTGCTCAGTGCCCCTGGTAGATGCGTGAGGAGGAAGGGGGGGGGGAGAAAAAACCATAGACGACTTGTCTTCTTGAAATTCTTTGAAAGCGAATAAGCATAGGGGAGAGGGCCAACAATGAAAAAGAGAAAATTGAAATTACAGACAGAAATAGGGAAGCATGGAGGCACAATTTTCTCATCAGAGGCCAGCAGATGCGTCCATGAGCTTTGGCCTACTGATCACTTTGTGAGCGGGGTGCTGCAAAGCTTTGATGGCGGTTAGCTTGAAAAAAGAAAAGAAAGAAAAAAGCCCACACGGCATAAACAAACAAGCAAAACCAGCCCCCTCAAGCCCAGTGTAGATTTCCTCTGCTGCTTGTGCCAAGACACACAAACAACAGAGCTGAAGCAAATCCCATTTAACAGCATGTGGGGTGAAAACACTGCTCATACTTAAAACAAATACCAAGTTACTATGTATTCAGACTGAGGAATAAATCATTTAAATCACACAAGTGATTCCAGCAAGGCAAACTTCTATTCGCACTGCAGGTATGCCTGCGCGCGTTGCTCAGGGGCTCTGGGTCCTCGACACCGCTGACTGGCTGAACATCGACTTTGCGCTTGCTCATCTACACATCAAAACACGTCCAAATGTTAGTTCACCAAGGAGATTTGTATTATTTTATTAGAGTCACGAGTGTCGCATAGCGTCCCAATGATGATTTTTTTATGGATGGCAATTTGCAGAAATCGTAAAAACTGTGCTACATGATAAAAAAGTTAATACATTCAAATGGGACGAATTTATGCCAATTAAACAAGGATGCTGTGTCTATTTTTCTTTATTATTTTGGCATTTTTTTGACTTGGAAGAAACTCACCCAGAAACAGTCACAGCCTACTTTAACAACTCTATTTTATCAGCAATGAAAACATGGAGCCAAGTCACCAGCAGCACGGCACTGACTCACCTCAGACAACCTCAAACATAGCTGTTTTTTAATTTTCAATTTATTCTTCAAAACTACCTAAGAATCTTAATCTTGACACATCTTAACACATTTGCCTTAAAATAACCGTACAGTTATTTTAATATACATTTTTTGGACTGTGTAAGCCACTTAAAAATGTTGCTGTTTTCTTCTAATCTTTAAAACAATTTTTTTTAAAAAGCCTCATAATTACATGTCTCCCCCCCATGATATCAAAAATGGTGTCAAGTATCAAATATTTCTGTGGGCATCAGTATCGAGTTTAAAATTCTTGGATGGTGGCCACACTAATATGTTGCATGAACTGCTCTGCTCACTCTTTTCATGCACACCTGCTTCCTTCTCGCTGACCTGAATCTATGTCGCTGCCACTGGTGTTACAGTTGTTCTTACAGCATTTCAAAAGCTTTTTAAACCCCACAGTCCACTGGTGGGAAAGTCACAACCTGCTGAGCTGAGCCTCAGGTGTGTTCATGTGGGAAATGACAAGGTCAAAGTCTAAATGCCAAGTATTAACACTTAGCCACATTCTACATTTATATTCTCGAAATTCTCGGCTGATTTTTTTGCTTTGTTCTATGTAACACCGCTTGCTGTTTCTCAGCTCGAAGAAAGTTGTATTTATGTTGCTGATTTGAATTACAACCTGTTTTTAAATTCAAATGAGTCTGAATAATACTTCAAGTATTCACAAATATAACCTTGAGAACAACAAAAGATATTTTAGTCCAGATTCGTTAAAGGTGCTTGTGCTCTCAGCAGGTGGGGTCTGACGATTCAATAGCTCCCCCTTGGATATGACTTGCTGATTACATGTTCACATCTTAGTGTGGCCAAAAATATAATGCACTGTGAGTGCTGCCTCAGCAATAGGGACACTGGTGCTTGTGCTGTGACAGGCAGAGCTCTCTGACCTCAGGTCTCGAAGGTGGTCATTATTATCTTTGCTGTTCACATCTTTCCTGCACCCAACTGTTGAGGCATCAATAATTCACTTATTTCTATTATTATACTGAATGGTATGCTGCCAGTGTCAAAAAGGGTGAGTACACCATTAGGAGAAACACATGGTATGTATGGTATGGCTTTGCAAAATGCCACTGCAATGAGGCAGGAAAATAAAAATGTAAATTGAGAATCAGAGAGCCTCTAGATGCACTAAAAATGTTTGTTCTTTTTCCTTCTCCCCATCTTCTGCTTGTAGAAACTACATAAAACGAAGTGAAACTTCTCTCCTAAACAACTAAAGGGAGCAAAAAGTCTCTTGAACTCAACAATTTAGAGTGAAAATTCCTTCTCTAAAATTAGGGATCTGGGGAAGTTGGGGAGAGAAAGTGAGGGATTTGGTTAGTATACCGATTCACTCTGAAAACGGCGTGACAAAAGAGAGTGCGTCAGGGAGGAAAAGAGAGAGAAAGAGGTTCTGAACACAAAAGAGAGCTGCAAGCACAGGGGTAAACACACGAGCCAATTGGGACGTCAGGGGAGCAGTAAGGGCCCCTGGTGAAGCGCACCCCCCCCCCGCCAAACACACATGTGCGCGCGCACACTCACACACACCGTCGTCTTCTCCTCCTCCTTCTATCCTGCACTCTAGAATTCACTTATCCCCAAATCCCTTTCCCTACTTTACTGATAACAACAAGGAGCGGGCCTCGGGAGCTTAACATAGTGGCAAATCCGGCCGAGGGAGTTCTGTGCCAATACACTCTGCGGCTCGGCTACGTCTGCAGGGATTAGAGCGCTTTCCGGGTTTCTTCACCAAGTGCGGCATCTTGAAATGACTTTAATTTGTTTCATTTGAAATAAACTGCCCAGACACTCAGAGTTCAATTTTATGGATGACCTATCAGCTGTTATCCAATCACAGTGTTAAGAAATGTTTGCCGTGTGTTGGGGTGCTTTATATTTGGCTCCCCGTGCATTATCTGTGGCTTGTTATAGCAGCAGAGTTTGCTTCGGCATGTTCTGATAGAAAGAGACACTATACACAGACCCAATTCGCCTCTGTGTTTTTCTGCCCCCTCATTATACATGTTTGCTCTAATAACTTGGCTTTATGCAAAAGTATAATACAAGTGAAAAGCAGAGCACCACACACCAGAACAAAGGCTCCTGGGACTGCCCTAGACTTAATTTGATTTCCCCCCTCTCTTTGGCGAAAGAAAGAGATTGAGGAACTTACTGAAGATATCATGCCTGTGTCCTGTGTGTGATACGATATACTGAAAGAGCTTGGAGGGATCGTGACTGTAAACCCCAGTATGCTCGTGTCAACTCCTATGGCAAAACCAGATTACACTTTCTCTTGTCTCTTTGAATAGAAACACAGCTCGCTAGCATGGACTTGGCATGACCGTGAGAGGATAGCAAGCTCTATCCTGACACAACTGGATGAGGCAGACTGGGCAGATCACCAGCGGATCACAGCAAAAACATCTTTTATGAATGCACTTGCCTCATGCATGTTTAAGCTCTGAGGGCATAACAGTAACCATGAGTAAAACAGGCAATATCAATTAACTATGTGAGAAGCTTTGTCAGCACGCCAGATACTAAGAAGGCACCACATGACGATGCAAACTCAACGTACAAATACAAGTAATCACATTTGATAACCCGCTGTGATATATGGCTTTTTGATTTAAACCACCTTATATCCTTATATCGCAGTAATAAGTTATGACAAAGGGACATGTTGTGACTTCAGACTGTTTCCAAGAAGAACTGCCCACTCAAATCACAGCTGAGTGCCAGGAAAACTAGTTAACAGTTTGGTGCTGTGGAGCTCCTTTGTGTGCAAAGGCTGGTGCGTCTAAGCTCAGATGGCCACGCAACGTTACACCGCGGGTGCCTTAGTGGGAGTATACATACAGCAAACTTAAAGTACTTCGCACCCAGGACCCCTACAGTGCTGGATCGGCTATTGTGCACCCAAAAGCCTGTTCTTAATCCTCATAATTAGAATAAATTCTTACTCTTCATTTGAACTGACTGACATTTGTTCTCTTGACAGAAATCAAATCTAAAATATTCTTCCATGCTTGTATATAGAGTGTACATTATTGGTCAGTTCTTAAGGATGGGAAATATATCATTTGAATTTCCCTGAGTCATTTAAACATTTTCTTCTACATGCTGCTAGTTCTTGATGTTCTGGGTGCTTTATTAAGAAATAAAACAGTGTCAGGTGTTCGATCAGATGCCTGATATGAGCTGTAATTAAATATCACTCACAAGCACTTCCAGTGTTGATTGTGACTTCCATCTTTAAGGTGCAAAGGCAGAAGTAGCAAGATGGTGTCATAGAGTCGTAATGTGGGAGGGAAGAGGTTGGGGTGGGTGGATGGTTCAACATGATATGCAGCTTTGCCCACAGGAGCCTATTTGTTTCCTTCTGCATGTCTCTCTTTAAACTATGAAAATAATCTTTAGCTAACCCAAGGCAATGATAAAAAAAAAAAAAAAAAAAAAATTGGTTCTGTTTTCAAGGGTTTGTTGGCAGGAATCATGTGATGATATTGAAAAGTTATACAACATGTTCTCATAGAAAACTTCCATTTATGGGTTAGTTTCTAAAATCCAATCATGGTAAATGAGTTGATGCTTATAGAGTGCTTTTCTACTCAATTTGAGCACTCAAAGCACGTTCCTACTACAATCCTCATTCACCTACTTTTACATTCATTTTTTCTATGTAGTTTGAAGCACTTTTGCCCTAATGTTAAAGCACACAATGAATGCATTGGGGTCAAATCGGGGTTCAGAGATGTGCAGGTTGGATGAGCCAGGGATCGAACCACTGAACTTCTGACAAGTAGATGACCCACCCCAGAAAAAATAAGAAACAAACAAATAAAAAACAGATAACAGCCTTACTTTGAAGCCATGACCAGTAGACTACTGTGACTAAATGTCTAACTGAGTCAGTTCCTGTCACACAGGCTACTGTCCAGCACAGGGTTCAGTAGTCATGAGTTAGCTGTTTTGTTGTACCTGTCAGCAGACACCACATGTCACATGTAGCACATTGAGTTATAACAAGCTGCTGTTTTGATGTGTTTTATTTCTCCCTTTTTATGCATTAGCCCCATGCGTGCACACTGTGAGACACAGGCGGGATAATGCAGGCCTCTGCCACAGAGAGAGGTGTCGGGCCAAGTCGCACTCCTGCCATCCACAATCCATTCAACATGCAACACACCGCTAGTCTCTGTATGTGTTGCTGGAGGGGAGCAAGCACTGATACCCTCTTAATGTCCTTTAAGCTGGGCCCAAGTGAAAAATCACTAATGTGAAACAAAGCCCAGACCATGGCGATCACGACTGAAGCCTTGGCTCAGCACTGCACTGTATTTTGTGTTGTGGCTTGTGTCTGAAGGGAATTTGGTAATTACTTTTGTGTTTGTGATTGCAATTTTACACCTGCCATCCCGGAACGGTGTTTATTTAAAATAATACAGCTTGTTAGGACCATTTAAATGGACTTATATGCTATGTAAATGGACACAGTTGGATGAATCAATTTATGAGTAGACAGGGAATGGGGACGAATGTATACAAAGCAGCAACACTATAGTCACTTTGGTATTGCTGCTACTCTTTACCCCAAACAAATATATGTTATTTTTTATGTCAGCTTTGATGTTGATGTGCATTTGAGCAGTTGCAGCATAGAAGGGATGTGAACATCCACTCACCCGGGCACTCTGTCCAGCAATAAGCTGGTCATCTTCAGTCTGGACACTAGTCCTGCTGCGAGTATCATAGTCCTCCTGTTCAAAGTCAGAATCATCTTCCAGCTCCTCTGGTGTCTGCAGCAAACACAAAGACAGAGATAAAATCAGAGATCAGGGAAGAAACTGAAATAGACAGCTGAAAAGGGCATTTTTTTTTCTGTTTTCAAGCCCCAATGTGCTGAAATCATGTCCTTCTGTTGCGTAGAGAATGGCTTAAAGATCCCTGAAAAGTTAATTGTCTCTGCCATTTTCCTACGTAAGGTCTTCCGTCATATTAAAAACCATATACAATAGGTATTTCCAAATCAAATTCACAGCCATAATGATTTATGCATTATTTACTGAGTGCTAAAAAGATAACTGGGAGGAAAGAGAAAGTCATCTGCGAATGCATTTACTGTAACATGTCCCAAGCATGTTGTTTAACTGCAGAAGAATAAATCTGTGAACAACTTGCATTTGTGCATTATTCACAGGTAAATATCTGGACCCATTTCCACAAGATCATTGATTGTAACTGCAGTTTATACAGAATGATGTTAAAAAGGAAGCCAAAAAGGGCTGCCAAGTTTTAGTCAGTTCAGGGGAGGAAGAAGCTTGGGGCGGAAAGCGATGGTGCAGCAGAGTATTTGTGAAACGGAAAAGCTCAAAGTCAAAACTCTTTACAAATGAGCATAACAGAGATGCTACCAATAACGTTTCAATCGCTTAAATATTATAATCAGTGTTATTATTAATTTTCTTTGAAACATTTTGACTTAAAGTCTTTAGCCAAACTCTTAAGTTACTGTTTGAATCCTGAATGCTTTTTTTTGGCATAAGATTTAAAAACTGCTGTGCAGTGATTGTAAATTCTTAATGTAATTCAAAACTAAAATAGTCTCAAAGCTGGGGAAAAATCCCTGTGTGTTTCATCAAATAAAGAATTCAGAGGAATTAGCAAGAAGAAGAAGAAGAAGAAGAAGAAATGAGAGAATATCTGCTTCAGTTTGCTTATAACTTTGTATGTGTTTTCTGTACGAGGCGAGTGACTCAATCATTAATAAGTATCTTTATTCCTCTCTGCTGTCTTTTAAGTGACGTCCCAATGATAAAGGCTGCTAGTTTGCCAGGTAACTTAAAAGCAAGTAGTTGATCTAACGCAGATGGATCGATTTTAACAGCATCACAATGATAACACAGCTGGGCGGCTTAGCTTCTGTGGAGCAGAGGATCAAATATAGACATGTATCTGTGTAAAATTATTCTTACATGGTGACAGCCTGCATTCACAGTTCTGTCACAGCTATGCTTGTGAAGTGCATAGTGTTGCCTGGTTATTTATATCGGTATTATAATAAACTAACAGTAGTTTCGTTTTTCTCAAAAGGAGCACTTACAGTATAAAACAGGACCACAAAAGTACCACAGGTTGCTAGAAGGCCTACATTTAACTGTGCTAAATTTCCTTCTTTATTTTAGTACAATGCGAATGATTTTCTTTCAACTCAATCAGTGATATGATTATTCTCTAAATAAAAATAAAAAATGTGCCCATTCTACCCTAATGATTGCATCGTTGAACTAAGGAAATAAAAGGCAAAAGGGAAGAGCATTTACACACTGGAAATTAGCTACTTATAATTTATTCACACAAATCTCAGGCCATATGGAGCTTCATTATCCATTCTTTAATTCAAGTCAGTTTGTTTGCTCACAATAGTGGGAATACAATTTCTTTATAGTTTCATAATAGCCCATTTCGTGCATATCCATTTGTAATAGGTTTTATAAAAGCAAATGTTTTATCAACTCATTCTACTGCAAACACCTACAATTTAGCTAGCATACAATTCATTTATTTTACTGTTTTATTGAACATAAAATCATTTTTAATCATTTCTTTTGTTGGTAGCTTCACTAAATTATAGGGTCTTGTTTCTTTACTTTCATTTTATAGATATGACAGTGTTATCCTGTCACAAATGAAATGCAGTATATTGCTGGTGCAGCTGTTTAAGTCTCGGGTAAAATATCCAGAATAAGGGAACCAGTTGCTGACTATCTTTGTGAGACAGGTTATTCATGATAGCAAATTTAAAAAAAGAAAAAGAAAAAAAAGAGCCAGCTGTGTGAATGTGCAGCAGTGAAGATGATCGGTTTTGCTTTTCGTCAATAAAAAAAAAAAGTCTGATTAGAGCTGTGATCACATAGACATTAAGAAACAAAAGCAGCCCCCTCATTGATTTCAATCAGGTCATTGCGTGGGGGTGCCAACTCAGAGGTTGCGTTACCTTGGAGATTGTGTTGCTATGTGTATAGATTTCTGCAACAAGCCTAAGGATCTTTCAATAAAAGAGGCCTACTATTACGATTACATTTTAGCATTTACACAGGCCATGAAACAACTTAACCCCATCAGATCACAGCAGCTCCTTTCATTGATTTCATTTTTAATCTGAATGTCTGGTAAGTTTGAACTTTCTAGGTGAGACAGGCTGTAGGTCAGTTTCCCGAGACTGGGAAACTGCGTAAATATTGGTTATATTGCAGTCTCCACCCATTGTTCAGTTTCATATCTCTTCCATTCTGTGCAATACTTACTACTTTCCCCCCTGCACTCCTGCGTGCATGTGTCTGCGGGTACATAAAGGCCAGGACAAAACCATGTTTCCAAGAACTTTCATAATAACTTTCCACTCTACTCAAGTTTAGCCTCAATTTTTAAACACTGTGGAGAATTGGTTTCTTAATCCGCTGACTGCTCATGAGATCTGTGCTGTAAAAATTCTAAAGGAGCTATTACTCGGTCTAAGTGGGGGAAAAATTAAAAAAAGTACACTTAAAAAAAATAAATAAAAGTTACACGTGGCACCAACATTTGCTATCTATACGATGAAGTCAGACGACAGAGAAAGCAAGGATCTTCCAAGTTGTTTCCCCAGAAAGTAATTGAACTTGGATAGGATTATAAAGCCAGCTGGTCCCGGGCAGTTCAAAGCTGCCTGTTTTACATTATTTACTAACATCAAATTATTTTCCATAATTAGATTTTTTTCTTTCCGAAGCTGAACTGGGAAACCTTCCAGCCTGCATAAAGTTGAATAAATGAATTACGTGGTGAAAGAGGAGGGACAGTTGGGGTGGGGGGGTGGGGGTGCAGATACTGTAACATCAGATTTGGTACATGAAACAGCAGAGCTGGTATCTTGTTGTTATGGAGCCGTTTTATCGTGACACGCTGTCAAGGGTTCTGCCAGATTCATAAAACAGATCATGTGACAGGGGTGACACTCCAAATGAGAATTGAAGATTTCAATTATGCGCTTCTTCATCCTTAGGGCGGATGTATTTTTGTCACAAAACTTCCACTGTCACCTAAGACAGACAGCAGCACAGTTTTCAGTGGGAATAAGGTCCCTGTGATGAAAAGCAAAGATTCTGGAAAGGGGTGTGCAAGTGTGACAAATTTGTCATGTTCACCAGTAGATTCAGGAAGTTTAACGTAACAGGTTTTATGATAGAACCACCCCCCACAAAACACAGGTTATTACCTCAACAAGACAGATATTTAAACCAAATTTAAAATATGCTAATGGTAGTGAAGCTGCAAAAAAGCATATATTCAAACTAAATAAGCTCAACATTAGGAAATGAGCAAACTGTTCAGATGTTTAAAATAAAATACCCAATCAAATATTTTGAATACACAGAGGAAGATGGGAAATTGGTGCAATTTGCTTTTTTTTTTTCCAACTGGCAATTCAAAACACTTTGACAATGTCGCTGAGCTCTAGAAGCATTTCAAAGTATCTCAGCTAGTCTTTCCCTTTTGCTCTCTTGCAGAAGATAATGGACGTACCCTTATCATGAGGACGGCTTTCCTGACGTCGCGGACGCCATCGTAGACCAAACGGGATGCATCAATGAACTCGTTCTCCTCAAAGGGTTGTGGGGGGTTCATACTCAGTGCCTCGATAGCTACTTCCACTTGTTCAGCAAATCGGGGCATTACTGCAGGAAGTAGAGATAGAGAACAAAAGAGAGACAGGAGGTATGGGTTTATCACTTTTTTCTATGATAGGTGAAGGATTATGATTAAGCAAAGGAAAATATATAAGAAAACACAGCTATGACTGTGCTGTTTCTCTATCCAAGGACATGACCACCACTGTCTTCAAAATGTCTCGCAGCACATTCTTCATCAGTCTGTGTTCACTTCTGGAATGTCACCCTAAACCTCTTTGTAAACAACAATATGCCATTCACACACTGCACACCAATTAGCTACTCCACATCGGCTTCCCCGGCACGGACACTGACCTGTCTCTCCCAGATCGGTTTGTGTGTTTGCTGCCATGTGGCATGGGGAAGTGTATGTATGTGTGCGTAACCTGGGAGCTCGCTCAGAGATGTCTGTGTGCTTCAGTGTTACAGCGCAAGGACGCGAGCTCAGCCTGTCAATTCACAATGCCGACGAAGGGAAACAATTTCATCAAAGTCTTTTCGAGGCAGACAAAAGCCAAGCAACAAAAGAAACGTCCCTACTGACCATAAAAAATGCTTGGTTTTGTTGTCGGTACCCATTGGCTAGACCTGATGGAAGAGCTTTATGTTTTTGAGTCTTCAAATGAATTGTGCTGAATATGAATAGACATTGTTTAATATCCAAAAATACAGACTGAAGGTTTTAAATATTTAGCAGGCCACCTTTCCAAGTAATCTCCTGTTGTGTCACAATAATTGAATTCCAGCTATGATAATGTGCTTTTTTTCTTCTTATGGACTTTGCGCTGTAGCAAATTATCATAACAAAAGCAAAGGCTTACCTAGAAAGCCAGTTGCCAGCTAGAAAAAGGTGTCCATTTACTGTAGATTTGTGGGTCTCTTTTCAAACACTACAAAAGCCTAAAAACCCACCATTACTTTTGATTTCATTTCAGTAACACAAATAGAAAAGTATTTTCTTTGAATCCGGAATAGATATTAGAAAATGACTTTATGTACAGAAGAACAGGGTGAGACAAAGTAAGAGAAGGACATACTGTTTTATGTGTTTTATGGAAAAAATCATTCAGCTGCTTTAGAAGTAATAAGCAACAAATATGTATCAATGGAGTGGATTTTTGAAGTGCTGATACTATGAATAGTTTAAGACAACATCATTAGAGGAGAAGACAGCTCTAATGAGCACAGAGAGATAAGAAAAACTGTGGAAAAGACAAATGAGGTATTGCAGTTTGGCCAGAGAGCCATATTTGTGATTTTATTAGCAACTTCCACACTCTCGCCCCATTCTGACATGAAGAGTGAACTAAATCAATTAACTAGCTTGCACTAAAGGTGTACGAATCTGCAGTGTGCTTATTTGTCTGATATAAAACATACGGTATATTTCACCAAACATAAAAGGCACTACAAAAAAGTCTCTCCCTTTTTCTTTTCATTTTTAATTCAGTTTAATCCACTTACTGGAGAAGCGTAAAATAGGCTTTTGGGAATCGCTGGGAAGGCGTTTTAAATAGAAATATTTAAATGTTCTCTGTGCTCTTAATGAGCAAAGTTGCTGATGGTAAGGAGCAATTTCACTCATTCCAGTTGAAAAATGATGAAGGGAATTAAATGTGACCATGTAGGGATGGATTTTTTTCACCCTCTAAGCTTAAGCATACTTTAAGTGAGAAGTTATGGAAGTACAATGAATGCCTCAAACCTCAAAGCAGACATGGTGCGCACCTGTGCCGTGTTTAACAAGATTTAAACAACACAATCTGCACAGTTCCTGATTTCTAAGCCACAAAATTCAAATTAAGACGGCTACATTTAGACAATCAAACACACAGCAAAACTGCACGGAAGCATGCACTTACATTCAACAGGTGAACACAAAAATATCTCCAAATCGATGACGTTGGCCCACTGGGACGGAAAATTTTAACAAGTACAAGTTTGCGAACAAGGTTTCCAAATCTGTGGTACTTTTTCTGCACTTTTGTGGCAAAAAAAATCCAAACAAACAAATAAAAAAAATAAGCATGTGCATATTTAACACAATTATTTATATTGTGTGACACTACTACACCTGCATGTTACAACATTGTTTGGCCTACTCATGATGATGGCAAACTGCTATTTAATCATAGTGAGAGAAGTAAAAAAAACAAGGGGTGGTAGATGTTGTTTATATCCTAAAAAAGGGTCATTTGAACCCTTTGCTAAGTGGTTGCTAGGCGGCCATAACATACCATCGATATTTCAACTTCTGCTGATATAAATTAGATCATAGTGTTGTGAAATGTAAATGATGTGAGGCTTTTATAAAGCGTTAGTGATGCATAAATGACAAAAACAGATCATTTTAGCCCGTTGCTAGGTGGTTTGCTCAACTCCTGACGACCAAAGCAAAAAATAAACACACAGACAGAGACTTTGGATATTACAGTAAGATATCACATATCACAGCAACAAAGTTGCATTTTATCCAGTTCCAGATCAATTCTTTCCACAATTACCCAACGCAGTCTGTTTCAAAAGAAAACACAAAAAGCAAAAACAAAAAATAAAAGCACTCCCAAGCAATGCTGTAGTATGAAGCAGGTTTGACAGAGCTGCCTTTCTGTTAGCTGACTTGATAAATTCTAAATATTAAACGATACTGGTTATCACAACAGGGGTTTTCTACTTTCTTTGTTAACTTAAGACTCTCTGAAGAGACATGATCAGAGGGACAGGTGATAGAGCTCTACAAAGAACAGGAAAAATATTGTTTACCACTCTTACAATTATCCACCCATTTACTGTTTACCCCTGTTACTTACGTTCTAAGACAATATAACACAGACACATCGTTAATACTAAGCTATTACTTGGGTACTGCTTATTATTTAATTACATGGTATTTACTTTATCACGTTATTACATGATATTTAAAGCTGCTACATAACGTGTAAACCAAAGTGTGACTATTAATTCACAAAGTTATATATATTACGTTTTACTCCACAATGTTACCTGTGTGAGCAACATCACACAGACAGAGACTCACAAAGAGTGCTTTCACAATTTGAGAGCTACTGGTCTAAAATATTACTATGTATATGTTTTCAAATTAATATACTTAAATAATTTTTAAATCTGTGGCCAGATCTGAAAGCTGCTGTTCACAAACGCTGTCCATCTAATCTGACTGAGCTGGAGCTGTTTTGCAAAGAGAATGGGCAAGGATTTCAGTCTCTACATGTGCAAAGCTGGTAGAGACATACCCTAAAAGACTGGCAGCTGTAATTGCAGCAAAAGGTGGTTCTACAAAGTATTGACTCAGGGGGCTGAATAATTACACACAGCCCACTTTTCAGTTATTCATTTGTAAAAAAAATGTTTGGAATCATGTATGATTTTCGTTCCACTTCTCACGTGTACACCAATTTGTATTGGTCTTTCTCGTGGAATTCCAATAAAATTGATTCATGTTTGTGGCTTTAATGTGACAAAATATGGGAAAGTTCAAGGGGGCCAAATACTTTTGCAAGCCACTGTATTTGAAGTTTACACAGCACCATGTGACCCAGAAAGAGTAATATTTCAAACTCCGCCACACTGTGTTCCTCCGCCACTCCATCATTTCAGTTTTGGACGAAGTGGATTCTGGGATATTGCATTTCGTCATTTCAAGCTGATTGGAGACCAGAACAGCCAATCAGATTTTTTTGCATCCAAGTGCGATTGGCTGGTTTTGTGGCACAAATATAACGGTGTACAGAAAGAGTTGAACGCGCACGGGCAGAAATGTTGAGAGCGCAAGCAACACATTGTGAGCGAGTGCAAATGCAAAAACTGAGCGAGAGGGGCTGCTGTTGTGTGTGGGTATGGATAACAGCAAACACTGAAATACATTTTTTGCACGCAGCAATGAATTTTGTTCACTCAAATTTAGCTTTTCTTCGCGCAAAACAAATTTCTCCTCAAAATGCAACATTTGCACCTGCAAATTTTTTTTCACTTGCACTCAATTTTTTTTACATGTGTTTAGAATAGTGGCACAAAAATAACGCCATATATGATCATTTCCCTACAGAGGAAATCATGTGTTGTTGCGTCTGACTTTAATGGCAGTGTGCGAATGGAGCTAACAATCACAGTTAGGTGATTTACCTCAAAATTTGCTGTGCACACCTGGCGGGAAATTTCACTAAAATGAGGCAATACAAACCCATCATTATCTAGACATCATACAGAAAGATACTTATTTCTCACATAATGTGAGCCTGCTGCCTTTTTTGGAGAATTTATCAGCAGCAACAAGGTAAATAATTAAATTAAATGCAAACACAATGCCACTAGAGTTACCCAAATGATCCATTCTTACAATACTTGTTATGCACAGTTCATTTATACGATGTGAAAAGCTTTTTCTTTCAGCTCATTGAACCAGTGCAGTTATCAAATGGCGGCATGACACATTTGCTGATAAATCCATGAAGTGCTATTACGCAGGCTGGATCCACCATGTTTACCTTCATTAAATCATATGAAAATTACATTTAGGAGCTACACATTAACCCGGTTCAGTATTAAAGCCATCATTGTGTAACATTTTGAAGTATGCTGCACAGACTGTAAATAAAAAATGTGCATTGTGTCTGTGTTGGCTTCGAAGCCTCGAAGGTAACATTCTGACTGCTGTTTGGAGTCACGAGTTACTATATATAGACAACAAGAAGAACTGCAACGTTATCAAGGGTTGCAAGTTTGGTTAGCAATCTGCATTCATAAACCAAACGCATCTGCTAAACTACTACACTTACACTGGTAGGGATAAGGCCTAGCCAACAACTATCATACTGGTAAGGCTTTAAACCTTATCAGTATTCAAATGTATAGTTTTATGACAACTATTGATGGGATACAGAGGGAAAAAGTGGAACAGTGCTGAATTAACGATGGTCACATGAACAATTTCATGCACATTGTTTTAATATTTATTTCCATGATCACTGTACAAGTTATATAAAAAA